AGCTTCAACTCATCCTCCAATGTTCACCCCCGCATAGCCTCAGGGCTTCATGATTCATCAGAAACTTTCCCCAGCTTCCTGGGTGGCAGGGAGGGGGTCCCACAGATCTCTCAGGGTGGTATAAACGGGGATAGGTTGTTTGAGAAGCAATGGAAAGCAAACCAGGTGCTGCAAGTTTTCTCCTTGTCCCATCTGCTCAGACGGGCCACGAAGAAAGGTCTCTCTCTGCCTGGGGGGCCTTGAGGATAATGAGGTCCAGCCGGAAATCCAGATTCCAGATGTGGGAGGTAGAGTTGAAACAAGCTTCCAACTTCCCCTTCGTGTTCCTTCCCCCACACCCCCCTCGAAGGCCCTGGAGGGATTTTCCATAATAAACAAGTAATGCATTCCTGTCCTTGGGTGCCTCCTGCTCTTTCCCACCAAGCCATTTGCTTCCCTCAGCACCATCTCCCCTCCTACAAGTTAGGTTGGTTTGAGGATGTGGGTCTGGCCACACGGAGAGCTGCGGGCAAATGTTTATAGTGAGAGTGGTCTTGGAGTAAGCGTCTAAGTGGAAGTGCTTGGAGTATGAATGTAAGTATGTTGGCAGGCATCGATGAAAAGATATATCATTGTTTGTTGAGAAGGTGTGTTTTAAACCTGTGGGGAAGAAGTATGTGATACAAAAGGGATCTCACATGTTTAAGCAATTGTCATGAGTATAAATTAAAGTGTCCTATAAGTCCAGAAAGCAATTGTATATTTAACAATAATATCACTAGTGACAGCCCAGTTACTTCATCCTTACACTCACTTTGGTTGGAAGGGGGGGGTGGGTGCCTTTCTACATAATGCCTTTGTACACTTAGCATCTAGGAATTACCCCAACGTCCCTTAACCTGATGCAATTTCTGCCCATGGCAAGCCCATGTGTTACAGACTAGAACTAGTGCCACGCAGCCTCCCCCAGCTTTCCTGTTTCGGAGACCTACAGGGGCAAATCTGTTCTGTCCTATAGGGTGACTATGAGACACAATAATTGGATGGCAGTGAGAGAGACATGTGCTTATGGGGTTTGAAAAAGCGTTTTCCTGTCTTTGAAAAAAAAAAAACTGGAATGACCAAAGCGAGCGTGAATACTATTTTTGCATTTATCGTTTTGCATTTTCATCTTTCGTTTAACAAGATTTCTGAGCAGCTACTCCATGCAAGACATCTATCAGAAGATATCACACACGCCTGCACCTGGCCACCAAGCATATGACACAGTGCCTTTCAAATCTTTCTTGGTGTCCGTCCATCCCCTGCCCC